ACCGTTGTTTTGAACGCCAGCAAGCAGTGATCGCCGCGGGCAGCGATACCTAATGTGATGGATACAGGCTATCAAGTTTTTTAGAAACAGTGAAGCAGAGGTTTAGGCGTCTACGTATTTCAAAACCTGCTTTCTAGACCAGACATAGAAAATTGAATAGACGATAAATAAAGAAGTGATTCCTTCTAACCTGCGAGTTGAGACCAGCACTCTTGGTCAGCCACTCGGGCAGCCTACCGACGGCAGCGCCATCTGCTCAGAGGAGAGGAAACTAATGCTTTCCCAGAGGGCGCGCAGGTTACCCGAGGCCTCAGGAAGATCGTGGCTCGACTGTCCCAGGTGGCGCTAGTGCCGTCTCCCCTCTAGATGTCGCTAGCTGTCCGAGCAGTAGCCCGGTGACGCGGGGGCAGGCAGCAGGACTCATATGCATATATGCAGGCAGCAAGCAGGCAGCAGCTCATTGTTTATAAAATCATTGGTGATTGCGCCAACTCTCTAACCATCGATATCACGGTTAAATGTGCACAAACATGTTAGTAACACCAGATGCAGTTCACCTTGTATATGCCTCACTAATGCAGCATGTTATGTGCACGTAACCGTCCGAGCGTCAGTCTAGTCTTGTTACATGGCGTGATCTCAACTCAAAGCAAAGTACGGGTACTACCACTGCATCATGTCAAGTCTTATTTGTTTTGTAGCTGAACAGCTGGCGTTTCAAGCGGTGCGTTATGCAGAGCCCACAGCACGACAAATAAACAATGCATAACTGAATCAGACGTGTCTGATAAAGCAAACCACCACCTGCTCAACCAAACACGCCAGTAGATGGTCAGTCTGACTTCGATTGCCTGGCGCAGACTGGACCTTCGCCAGTGCCTTTCAAACCCTGAATAGAAGCCAGCGTAGTTCGGTAGTATTGAGAACCACTGGGTTGAGTCGTGCCCAGGCAAATAATTGGAGCCATTCAAGTGACACAAACCAAGTGTTCCTGCTAACGGTTTCTAACGGATCCGATACAGGGAGTATCAAATTTTACGTAGTTCCCGAGCACAGATTGTCAGCTGTCTTGCGGCTTTATGCCATCGGCAATGTCAAAAGCGGAATACACCCGCGGGTATGTCAATGTCGGGTATGACTGCGGCGGGTATCTGCGTCTGGCCAGATAGGATGAGCGGTCTGCCAGGGTTGCTGGTGGCCCGTCTGGGTCACGGTCATATTCCCACCAGCCGGCACTGGCGAGCGATCAATAGACGCTCCCAGTCTCTATCTGACTCCGATACTCTGACCGCCACAAATGTCGCCCTCTGTACGGACAAGCCGACCTCACCACTCTGCAATCTACGTCACCAGTTACCCACCACATATCCCAAAACAAAATTATCAAGCAGTACCGCCTGTACCGTAATGAGCTAGCTAACCTTTGATAGTTGTAAAATTCCGCTAACGGCCCAAACGCGGAGCGATAAAATTTATATGGAATTGCTCTGCGGTTAACGATGTTCTGTTTTTGGGGGTGTACTCAACGATCTCTCAGTCACCCGACTGACTGTAACAGGGCGACACTGGACGAAACTGCAATGAGGGAGCATTGAGGACACACGGCGCTGGCATTGCTTATCATGTACCAAGTACCACCCCACAAAAACGAATGAAACAACTGCGCACCAGAATGACACGTCACAAAACAGGAACAAAAGCGAGGCACAAATTGCCTGACGAATAGTTAGCGAACCACAAAAACTCACCATGCCTTATGTTCCAATGTCTGGCAAAACGCAAAAAGCTATGAAACATGGAAAACATTCCGTGCCACCTCTGCCCGAGCAATAAATCGCTTTTGTACCACAAAGGGAGCCGAGCCCTCGATTGCTAATGGCGCTAGACTGGCCGATCAATGCGACACAAAGCGGGTCCAATCGACGCCACACCGAATGGTGCCTGACGGAGGGCCGACTGACTCTGTGACACACTGCTAGGGGAGGGGGTCATTTACCTCAAGGCCAAAATAGGCTGAATGTGAAACACTCCGTGAGCCGTACCAGAGCCGTTGGTCATTAGATGGCCCCATATATTGGTCGATACCTGATAGGGAGTACCCAGAATATGCCATACGCTCTGGTGACCACTGAATCTCGAAATGGATTCACAAACCAGTATAGAGGTAAGAGGCAGCTCAACATTAGTGACCTGGAGACTCAGAACCTGAGCGACACAGTGGATCATAACCGCTAATTTCAGGACTCCATACTTCAAGGCCCTGCCACCTGCCTTCCAGTTATCGCACACACAGATCGGGGGCCAGGCAACAGTGGTCGATACGACGACCCCTCCCTCCCGCCACATACTGACATGGTTCGGGGGGGGGGGGGGCAGCCAGCAGGGACTGCAGACTGCACGCCACCAGTGACCCCTCCCCCCCTGTCCGTCACCCCCACTATGGCACGTGTCCCTCCCAGTGGGGTCGGTACCAGCAGGGAAGTAATGAACGAGCGTACCGCACGGGTGGTGTTGGAATGGACGGTGGATTGCGGATGGGCGGTGGACGGTGGACGGTGGGCGGTGGACGGTGGACGGTGGACGGTGGACGATGCTTGGTGGTGGCTTCAGTAGCGACAGAAAGGAGACATTCTAAATAGCATTGGTCCAGGAAGGGATTTTCTCTCTGCACGTAAGTCGTTCGGTCTAAATGATGAAACACTGCTCGCAGTTTGTCCTACATTGATCATCAAAACTTTAACGGTCCGATTCCATGGGTCGTCTCTGCAGTCGTAGCCGCCTCTGACAGACGCACTCTGCGGGATCACGCAGACCATTTCCCAACCAATCTCATGCGTACGGAACGTGCTCGCTGCTTTACGGCTTCCCAGAACAGCGGCGGGTTTTATCTTGACCATACCATCAGTGCGACGTTTTCCAAATGAAATGAGCGAGGCAGCGTCCAGAAAATTCAAAGCTCTCTACAGACTACAGCTCTCGCAGTGGCCATGAGGTCACGGGCGACACAGGCACTCCCAGCTCTCCCGTCCAGCGATGTGCAGTGAGCTCACAGCTCTGCAGCGCGACGGCCATGAAGTCAGAGCTCTCCCGTAGCGTTTGCAGCAGATTGACCTCAGAGCTGTGATGACGAGATTGCTGCGGCTGCAAGGAGCCACTGCGGCGACTGCCAGCGGTAAAGGAAAGTGTGTCGACTCGAAACCTGAACTATTGGACAGGAAACCTCATAATTTAATCATTTTCAAACAAATTTACCTACCAACCAATTTTTGCCTTTTAGTCGATATGTTCACATTTTGGTGACCACACTAGCCCCCCCCCCCTACCCCCATCCCCCACCTTCCCAGTTCCCACTTCGGTCTGCAGTTAGAGGTCAGCGGTCAGCATCTGTCAGCCAGTCGTCATCCGTCAGCAGTCAGCAGCCATACGTCAGCGGTCAATCCCTGTCAGCGGTCAGCCGGCCAGCCACCCGGGACCACTTAGACGCCTGTCAGTCTTACACCCCTCTCCATCCTCCTACCCACCCCAATCTGGCAGTCACCAGACAGACCAGACCCTCGCCATCCCGCCGCCAGACCGCGATCGATACGACCTCGTCTGAGCTGACCCGCTGTCGAGAGCGGCAATTGCCAGAGGCTGTTACAGCTCTGACAGGTTTAGAGCCGCTCTGTATCGGTCGGCTCGCCACAGCTCAGCTATTTCTGGCTAACAGAGGCTATTTTGGACCGAGACAAGCTGGTTGAGGATCGGCGGATGTTTAAGGTTGGGCTGAGGTCGCCAAAGGTCAGGGAAAGGTCGAAGTTAAGGCGTGTTGGCGACGTGACTAGCTTACTGTCGTTATAAAGGTTAGGGAAAGTTCAAGAAGTTAGCTTCGTGCAATGGTGTTAACCTGTTGGCACCATTAAACATGGGCGGAAATAATAGAGAAAGGTCACCAACCCCTTCGACTGTCAAATTATCAAGAACTCTGTTGATAAAAGTAATCGTGAGAGCGACCGTCGCCAACGCCTCTCGCGCGGCCAGCCAAAACCTGCAGCCCGAGCCTTCAGCCCTGACCGCGATCTGACCTTATCCTTAGCCAAACCACTGCTCTCCACACGAAACCCTCCAGCGCCAACCCAGGTGCCAGCCAACACAATCCAACGGATGATCCGCCCCATCGCAAATATCAAGCATGGGACATTCACCGACCCCGTCTTCGTCGCCACTCTCATGCTACCCAAACCTTATTCATTCCTCAGGCGTCAGTGTGAGACTATTCCCTCTGAGGTAGACCGGGCTAGTCTCAGGTAGGCTGGGAGTGGGACTGTGCTGTGACCGCCACTAGGCCCATGTGTCGCTCGGTGCCGCTCAGGGTCACTTCCGGTCGTAAACGAACCAAACATCGCACATAAGGCCGTCATCCGCAGTGGCGCAGCGTTATCGAAGCGTCATGTTTGCTCGTCACCGTACGTAACAACATGAGTCAGTGTGTGGGCGCAGGCACCGGATAGGAAGTACGTAAGTTCGGCTCAACTCGTAGGAGACCAAGCTTAGCGCACTGCCCGGATGTGCGTTGGATGAGCACACCAAACACACCTAGCGGAGCGCGGATAATTGCTTCTTCCGCTTCCGCTGGTTGACCAGCCCACGAGGAAACCTACGCACCGACAGCGACAACATCGTAGGTGCTGCAGCAGACTTATCACTAAAGCATGCCCTGCTATCTCAACAGAGGTCTGAGGAGCAGAAGAGGACACACTGGAGCTCGTATGAACACTGGAACTCATATGAATATGATATAACCGATCTCTGACCTCGTGTAACCTGTATGGTTGACGTTTGACCGTATGACATGTGCAACTCCCATATGGCTTCATGTGACCTATGTTACTTGCACATGACCTAATGTGATCTGTGTGGCTTACATGTGACCCCTTACGTCCTGTGTGACTGAAAATACCGTTGACCTCATATGACTTGAATATCACTGGCTTTGGACCCTGTTGACCCCTGGAACTGACCTGGATCTCCTGCAGCAGTTCGGCCTTCCTCCGTCGGATGTCGAGCAGAAGCTGCTGCTCCTCGGCAGTCAGGTCTGAAACAGAACAGAACAGCTACGTCAGAGGGTGGCGGGCGACGACATCTCAAACCGCAGAGGCTATAGTTTTTGGACGTCACTTTAGGATAGATCTTTGCAGTGAGCGGCTGAGTGCGCTGTGAATTCTCTTAGATTAATGCATCCGTAGATGCACACGCCCGAACATGTGACCATAAGCGTGCAACGTATAACCGCAACAATGTCTTAATGAAATGGTAATAAAAAACACGATGCATAAAACCTCGTGAAACAAACATCATAACACTGTCGTCAATCTTGCGAATGACGTCGCAGCTTGCCTCCTATCAGCCAAAGCTCTCTCCACAAATTAAATTCCGCAGTCCTCTTCCGCAGCTCCCCCCCCCCCCAAACACCGCTACCTCGAACACACTGCTCTCGCTGATTCTCAGAAGCTGATTCACTAAACACTTCCCGGAATTCACTCTGGCCGCCCTAAAACACCCATCGAATGGCTCAGTTCCAACAGCGAGACCCATCTGCCATCTGAACCGTGCCCGCAAAGTCCGGAACGCCGCGGTCACTTCACGTGCCGCGAGTGAATTCCGCACATACCAATCCTACTTCACCTGGCTGATAACAGCTCCCATGTCCCCCTCCCTCCCCTGGGGGGGGGGGCGGCACGCGCCCCAGTGTGACTCACTACGGGGGAGTCGTAGTCGTATCGACACAGTTGGCATCCCCTGAGTCATAGGCCATTAGTGTGGACACGCAGTGTGAGGGGACTCGGTGGTTGGCCGCAGGGGACAGTCCCCTACGGAAGCGCGCCTGTGATACCGTTTGGTAATTCAGCGCAGCGCCCAGTCCCCGGGGTTTGGGGAGAAGCGGGGGCGGATGATATAGGCTGGTAGATAGGGAGATGCGAGGATGGGTGAGGGCGCTACGCATGCATTTAAATGTGGGTATATCACGCTCACAACAGACATCTGAACCGGGCGACTTACGAATACGATCACTGCTCGGCGCCATCACAAAAAAAAACATATCCTTCCTTTCGGTGACGGAGGAAGTGCCTGCTTACAACTCCAACTCTTCCCAAGATCACACCATTCGACCATACCCAATACCCATTACCCATCGAGTGTGAGTATGGCTCAATAAGGCATGTCGACAGCGGATACTCGTACGAGATGAGGCTCGAGTAGCTAGCGGTGACAAAACCACGTCAGCTGAAGGGCACACATCCCGAGAGAAGAAGCACCCAACAAGACAGGGTCTCAAGACAGCCAGGTCAGGTCACGGCCACACAAGTAGCTCTGACGCCGTCTGTTAACGACAAGAGCATCAATCAAATGATGAACGGACAGACCGAGTAAGAAAACATAACGGATTGCTAATGGCATGATAATTGCTTTTGATTTATTTTCATGTGTCGTTTATATTAGCTCAAATAAACGGGAGTGAAGTGTTTAGACATGTGTAGGCGTTCAAACAACGGACCTCAAACCCGACCATCCCTAACCAAGGCGTCACGCATGGATGAAGCTTTTACATGACACTGTTAAACAATATACGCACGCTGACGCTAAACTCACTATTACGTTCCCTGGGAGTGATGCTGCCCGGCTTACATATAGTTACGTTCAGGGACACGCGTAAATCTCCACAATGTTGTTAGGAAGCCCAGCACCTACAGACAAGGTCAGTCTCAAATGGCTTCTTCCTGCTCAAGAAGCCTAAGGAACAGCAGATCATGATTGGCAGAAGAGGATTTAGGAGACAGGCGTCACTGTCATGGATTCCCTGTCATATTGTCCATACTCCATGTTATCCAGCATGCATCTCCCGCAGCCAAACATGCGGACGGTCCAGAGACCAGTGAGACCATCGTCCGGCGACCACAGACCACAGACCGGGGCCCGCAGACCACACACAGGACCCACAGACCGCACACCGGACCCAAGGACTACGATAGCTCGGTGGTGGCCCACCGGTGCATCGGTCAGTGGCGGTCGAGTTATCAGGGGCCACATCCCTCGAGGCTTCCCAAGGATTTACCCCCGCTGCTGAGCCTCTCATAGCCACAGCAGAGACCCACAGTAGGTACTGTCCAGTGTCCAGCTACCGGTGCGAAGCTACCGGTCCAGTGGTTGGCGGGGGACACCCTGGGCTCCCCGGCAGCCACCCATTCAGCAATGGCTCCAGCATGGTCAATGGTCATTGCAACCGCAAACGTCGGGGGACGGCGATAACACCGTTCCCGCTCTCTGCGTGCGGGGATGTCGAGGAATTCCCGAGGTACAGGATTACCATCGCGTCGGTCAGTAGTGGTCATGATATTGATATAGAAGAGTGGTAAACAACGGGCCTCGTAAAACTGCTTAGCAGTCTTTTTGAATCAAAAGACATCGTTTAAATGTCGACTTTTGATCAATGCAATAACAATGGCATCAACAATAAACGTTTGTCAGACAGAGTACCACCTTTCGCACCTGTCTCAGATATGGACACACGCCAAACACCACAACTGCTCCTGGTAGTACCAGTCACTACAGCCCCTTCCCCTTCCCCCACCCCACCCCATGTCTCTCCAACTGACCCCGAAATCACCATAGTGCCTTCCCTGGCGCTGAGCTGTCTCCCTCAACTCGCCTGCAACGTGTCTTGAAGCAGGGAGAGGAATTTACGATCAGCATTGATCAATGTTGACTATTTTTGGCAAGCTATTGTCAGCTCAGAATGCATCCTAGCACCCCCTCCAAATAAAAACTGTAGAAAAGAAGCAAAAAGGAAGGAATACTTTCAAAATAAGGAAGCCTAGGAGAGAAACTTTCTTATTAATACATTCAACTTATTCGTATAAACTACAATATTCATTCATTCACTCGAATGACCCAAATTTAACTCACTCAGGCCTAACTGACAAACCGTTAGAAATAAGTCAACCATCAATCACAGGATCCAGGCAGCACCAAAGATGTTCCATTGCCACGTCAAAGGGAGAACAACCAGACGCGGGCCGTTCCCACAAACACAAACAGCGGGCCAGATATATCCTGTTCAACGGGACCAGTCCAGGGGGTGGAGGCGTCTCATGTGTTTGTTGATCTGACATAGCGACAGACAAGAGCACGTTCGACTTCTCTGTCGATCAGCTCAACGAGCGTTTACTGGTCCCCTTCCACCGGTCGCATGGTCAACTAGCTGAACCAAGTATCGCAAACATCGCAGGCATCCCCAGCATCTCAGGCTCCTATCAGCGATAGAAGCTACCCGTGCTGTTTTCATTATGGAGATGCCTTCTCACAGGATCACGACTCCACTGTCTATTTGAGGAGACGACAGGAATGGTCTCGGGGGCACACCACCGTTTTCGGGTGAATGGCATCCAGGATGTATGCGGTGTCTCCTCTATGTGATGTAGCTGGATAGATGCCAATGGTCATGCATGCCAGGGTCAACGGTATGCCTCACCAGGGACCATACCAAACGTGCAGGGTCATTGCTGTGATGCAAGACACACATTGACCCCGGGAGGCAAACTGGAGAGCGCCACAGAAGCAGACAAGCGTTTGCGAGGACAGACACCGAGGGCGGCGTGAGGAGCGATGACGCCAAGCGGGGAGATGAAGACCCCAATGTCGTCAAATGACGCTTGTGAAGTCAAGGTCTGATACTAAGCAGCACAACCAGTGGTGACAGAATATCGTCCAATGTAACGCGAAAAAGTCAAAGCGTAGGCCCATGGATGCAGGACGAGGTCAGCTGCAGAGTGGCGATAGGGACAACATCCGGGGGTGAACACAAATCATGTTCTGGTTCGAGGCAGTTAATTCAAAACGTGATCAGTGTTCAGTGCGAAAAAAAAGATATGACGAAGCCTGAGTTTAGAATACCTTTCCTATCGTCTTCTCCCAGATGACTGAATTGTTTTGCTCTGAGGTGAGATTTTACAGCGAGCACAAGACGACAGGGTCCGCCCCGGGGTCAGGCGCCGGACGCTGTGGGGTTTCTCCACAGCCGGCTTCCCGTGCACGGTGTCCCGAAGTTCAAGGCCAGTGAGGAAGCGCACGGGGTCACAAGATCTTCCCGAGGGCGCAGGATATCATAAAGAGAAGTAATGTGTCCTTATGGCCACCACGGGAAACATCAGATCGCGTTTCGGCATTCCAACTCCAGATAAGCCCATTGTCGTATCATAATATAGCTATTTAATAGATCGTTAGATATCCTTTATCTAGCTGTCTCAATCCAGGTATCCGGGTCTCTGGGTCATGAATTCGAAACACATCCTCGTCTCCGCTTGCGTTTCTTGCCAGCAAGCACGCACAACATTCCACCATAGCTATCTGAATAAGATGATCTCAGAAATGCCGCCGATAGCAGATAGCAGAGATGTGCGAGGGCATCAAAATGACGTCATTATGTCGAGAGAGCAGGCACTCGGAAATACAAAAGTCGCTTCCGAATGAACAAAGATGAATTTTGTGTTGATAGTTCCGTGCCACAAATCCGGTTGTGGGCAAGTGCTAGGTAAGTGCTAGTACCTACAAGAGTCTTCTCCGATCAATCAGTCGGTCCGAGGGGCTACCTGGCTGCTGCATTAGGCATTCGTTACGCCTGTCCGACAGGCGAGTATGCGTCAATCACATTGTTCCGACAGACTATCAGGGTCCGCGCAACGCACGCAAATCCCCGCCGATGTACCAATATCTAGATGCGCGATATAAATATGGAAAACCAAGTCCTAGTCGTCGAGAAATGTCCTCGGCGCACTTATAAACCTCTCCAGCATTGGATTAGTAATATACCCAGGTGGCATCTCCACCCGCATTATCACGTTGATAGAGGACTGCATGATCATGTCCAAGTCCCGATAGTCACAAGTCCTATCATGACAGCAAGTGATCTATGGCGCTCATAGCTGAATCACACGTAGCTACGAGGCTTTATACGCACAACCCATGAGTGTCCCACAAAGCACACGGATGTAGAGTAAAAAGCATTGAAACTAAACAAAACACACCAAGCCAACCACG